GTGCTTGACTATTTTAGGAAAGCAAATAGTCCTCTAGAACAAATGCTCTCACTGGCCCTTGAGACAATCAGCGTCAACTATCCTGCATATCAATGGCTCCAAGTCTTCACTGATGGGTCATACATAGAAAACCAAGCAAACTTTGGTGCGGGTATTTACCCTGAACAATTCTCCTTCTAAGCAGCAGCGGGACACAATAGATCCTCAATCGAAGGAGAAATTGAGGCCATTAAGATATCACTATGCCAATTATGTTGCCTGGATGCGAAATTCATCAAAGCGGCGATACTTTCGGACTCACAGTCAGCAATAAATTTAATTGAAAACAGAGAGCCACCCAAAACAGCTTAGATATACTAATGTAAAAAAATGTATCAGTTACTGAGTGAAAAAATAAGACAATGGTTCTTCAATGAATCCCTAGACACCGTGGCATTAAAGGTAATGAACTTGCTGACGCACTTGCTAAGAAGAGGACAGCAATTTTGCAAGGCATAGACTGGCCGATGTCTTTCCACGCAATGAAGGCCTTAATCAGGAGAGAATTCCAGACCTCAAGATGCAACGAACTCAAAGCTCGAACAAAGGAGAAACAGTTGGCATTGACACTCTCCGACATAGCCGACTGACGAAGAATCGAAGCCGTTGCTGAGTTTAGACTTCGTACCTGACACGATTGCCTGGCGAAGCACCTTCACAGAACCAACAACAGAATAGGCATATACGCTCAACCAACATGCCCCTATATGACCCATGGGGGGGGGGGGAATGGGGAAGACCCACCTGACTTGGTGTCCAACTTTAAAGACAACCACAGAAGCCCAGAGATACTGGGAATCCAGACAGCTAATGAACTATTATTAACTGTCCTAATACCTGCATATTTGTTCCTCCATCCCCTTGTGAAAGCCAAAGTCAACTAATGGGCTAATGATGAATATCATAAAGTCTGCCATTTAATTTTTCCAAAAGGATTTTTATATAAAGGACGTGTGTGTGTGTGTGTGTATGTGGATTTTATGCTCTAGTCTGTAGTAAATGCCACTTTAATCCTATATGGTCAACCGATCGTTATAATTTACAAGAACCAAAGTAACATATTCCACACCCCTTCATCTTTTATTCAATCTAACCAGTGCATATTTATGTTTAAAGGTTTTCTGATCGTAAAAGACTGCTATTTCAATTTAAGATTGGCCAGATTTCGTGCTCTTAGATCTAGCATGCGAAGGAGGGTTGCGTGTCAAGCACTGCTTACGTTTTAATGGTCACATGCTCTACTCAATGCAATGTCATTATTTCTCATAGTAAAATTGAGTCTAATTTTGATTTTTCAACTGTATTACTGTTGGCTGTTATCTTGAATCGCCAAGCGAATTCACTACCTTTTCTTCATCGGACTTGCGGTTGACCTTTTAGCCACTTCATTCATTTATTTTAATAAACGAATTATGAAAATCGTGCATAGCACCTTTGTTCACCCTGCTTTGTAAATCAGTCTGTTAGGAAATACGCCAGAGTGAGTCGATTCGTGTGATAGAGTGGCAGCACTTCTCTCTTCACTTATTACGATCGCTATTTCGACTTTGGTAAAATATTTAATTACGCTCTCTCGAGATCATTGTATGCAGTAGATCTTGTTCTAATAGCGAAACAGGAGATCAGGGAGAAGACGCTTGAAAATTATGAAATATAAAAGGGGTACCCTGCCACACCTATTAGTGTTATAGAATAGAATAGACAGGTTTGCTACAAGAAATAAATGAATGAGGAATATTCATTGGAAGATGAAGTAAACCAAACACACCGACTCCGTGATTGGGTCATCATGGTTCGGGACACCATAGATTTGTTGTTGCTGCACAACGCCACAATCTAGTCAGATCTAATCATCTACGACTATTTTTTCCCAGATTTGGAGCCTTCGACTCGGTTCGTAATTTGTTATTTAATAAATCATAATTTTAAGCACACTTTCGGGTATCAAATAGGCATATATCATAAATTAGCTAATAATATATTTTATGAGATAGTACACCATTATTTTCATTATAAATATTAAATGAGGAATAGTGGCCATAACCTTCAACAGTTCAACCCATCATTTGAGGCAACATGCTCTTTCAACCGCAATTTTCATAGATCTTGCTTATATTGTGACACAACAGTGAGTTGATAGGAAACTTCAATTTTTCTGAAGTAAGCATAGAGATGGTGTTAAATAAAATGCTAATCATATTGGTATCATTAAACTTTCAAGTTTCTAAAGAAATCATTCAAATTAAGGGCACTTGAACAAAATTTTAGAAAGAGAAGAGGTAAAACTAAGCTCGTGAAGTATCTACACAGGCGGAGTTGGCATAATAGAGCGGCAATAAAACCTAAGTGGTCAAGATTGATAAAGAAGAGATGAAAAAGTAGCCTCAAAGTCGTCGCACGCTTTCAATATGAATAACCATAAGGAGTGGGATAGGACAAATTTAGGTATCACAAATGCTAAAGCTGGTAATTCTGACGCGAACAAAAATAAGCTTAAGATAGTTTATCTCCTGCTTCAGGAACTATTGTATCTGGAGATTTCTTCGGTTCTTCTGAGTGACTAGCCTTGTGATGACTCTCACTAACTTGAGAGAACGATTTTATTATAGTAGGAGGAAGCTGTGAATGTCTTTGCTCCGTTTTGTGCCTTAATTGAGGTTTCTCTCCATCTTTATGACGTCGGAGCCACTCATGATGGAAAGCTTCACGGGGAGTTAATCGTTCTTCGGGCAGCCATCGAAGGCATTTTGAAAGGAAATCTAGAAAAAGAGGATCATCACGTCCTTTTAGAACTGATTTGAGCGTTTTGGAACCTGGAACGTCACGAATTCTGCCTCGCTTTGTCTTGTGTGGACGAAGATGTACGTTATTGTTAGCATCAACTTCCAGACAGTATCGAGGCACACCATAAGTTGAAGAAAAAAAATGTTTCACTCGTCGACTTTGTTCAAGCAATTTCTTTGGTGGCATTCCGAGAAGTTCTAATATACACGCCAGTTGATCACTTTCGTCTTCGCCAGGAAATAGTGGAGTCCCTAAACATTAAAAGGTCTTCCCCGTTTATTTTTTAAAAGCTAGTGAAATGCTCTACAACGATAACATTTCTTTCTTTTTATCCTTTATAAAAGGAGGGTGGTCCTTAAGCTAACATTGATGAAAATTGAGAAGTAGGCGATAGGATTTTATTAATTTATTTATCTTCTAAATTTATTTCTCGATTTAATTGAGTCAAATGAAAGGATATACATAGACGAAGTGCTTAAATTCCCCATAATAAACCTTCACTAAATTAGATACGTGCAGCATGCATTAGCATAAACTGTCTTTATTCTGGGAGTTCTTCAATGGAAAAAATTATGAAAAATTTTACTAGAAAGATAGATGGCATGCTTTCGGTGTGTCCCAATTTCTTTGTACACCATTCGTAAATTTTCATTTTTTGTGATTGGGTATGAGATCTCAAAATTACTATACTGTTGACTCATCTGTGGGACACTCCATCAATGACCAAATGTTCCCGCAAATTATGCTAGAGTTATCTGATAACTAATCGCTTTACCAACAACACACTTCGCTATTAATATACGTATCGAATAAACGTATTCCTTGCTACACGTCTGTTTCCCCTATAGCTGGGCTATAGCTTAGCTTGTTCAGGGAGTCTAGCGTAGCTGGGGTATAGCTTAGCTGGTTCTGGGAGTCTAGCTAGATGTGGGCTATAGCTTAGTTGGTTCTGGGAGTCTAGCTAGATGAGTTTCCCTTATAGCTAGGCTATAGCTTAGCTTGTTCTGGGAGTCTAGCTAGATGTTGGAAATCTTGCCATCGAGATTTCTGAGTCAGTCAGGCTTTACTAAGGTGTTTAGCTGGTTCTGGGAGTCTAGCTAGATGTAGGAGGATCTCCCATTGAGATTTCTGAGTCAGTCAGGCTTTACTAGCGTAGCCAGAGATTTCTGAGTTAGTCAGGCTTTACTAGAGTAGCAATATTTCTGAGTCAGTCAGGCTTTACTAGCGTAGCAATCCGTGGAGCTATAGCTTAGCTGTTCTGGGAGTCTAGCTAGGTGTTGGAGAATCTGCCATAGAGATTTCGGTCAGGCTTTACTAGCGTAGCAATCCGCTACAATGCAATCCGGTCAGGCTTTACTAAGGTAGCAATCCGTTACAATTCTCAACCGGTCTGGCTTTACTAAGGTAGCAATCCGCTACAAGTCTTTAACCAAGTCAGGCTTTACTAGCGTAGCGATCCGCTACACATTAATTGACACAAAATCTCACTAGACTTCGAAATAAATAACACTTCTGTTTCCCCCTCTATTTACCTTCACGATAGCACGTAAAACACGTCAATTTAGTCGTCTCAGCATAATCTCACAGGCAATATTGGTATTCTGAATGTCACTAAATAATATACCAAAACTTGATCACCCAAAATAGCTGTACAAACAGAATTGGATTTATCCAATATAAAAAAATTAATTCAGCAAAATCAAATACAATTTTACGCCAAAAACAATTGAAAGAAACATGCACCCAGAATTTTTTATAAAAATGATCAACATACCGGTAAGCAATTCAGCTAGAATGCACCCAAAGCTCCACATGTCTATGGAAGAATTATATTTGCAACCGAGAATAACCTCAGGTGCTCGATAAAATCTGGACTGGATGTATGTATAAAGACTCTGGTCTTCAAAACAACTGGATCCAAAGTCTATCACCTTGATGTTACTTCGTCCTTGATGCTTGAGCAGAATATTTTCGGGTTTGAGATCACAATGAATGATGTTATTTCGATGTAGCATATCAAGACAAATTAGAATAGAGTGAGCAAATTTTCGGACCAAGGATAGGGAGAAACCCTTGAAATCACTCCTTTTGATAAGTTCGTAAAGGTTAATATTAAGCAACTCGAAAGTCATACAGACATGTTCACGGAAAGTAAAGTGATCTAACAGGTGAACAACATTACGATTGTTCGCTAGATCCTTATTGCGAAGTAATTTTAGGATGCGAATTTCCTCTGCGGCCTGTTTAGAGAATCGATGCTCATTTCGTACCATTTTCAATGCGACGAAAGTGTTGGTTTTGTGATCAAACGCTTTCACTACTTGACCAAAACTGCCCTTTCCGAGAATTTTGAGCACTTCATAGCGATAAGCTATGTGATCATGTATAGTGTGAATGTAAGTACCGCTTTCATCATCGAAACCAGAATTCGAAGATGATATCTGGCCTTTATTGGAAGCCCGGCCCACAAAGTAGATTTTGTGGTAATTAAGAATCTCCACTAATTCATGGGGTGTAAGTTTATCTTTGTAAAGACGAATTGCCTTTTGGGGTGAAATACCTTCCGATGGATAGATTTCTGGGTTTTGAATAGGCGTACCGCTGACATGAAGATCGCAAAAAGACTGATAGGAAATATGCTCCTTTTTGTCGATATGGTTTAACTCATTTCCGGCCAATCTCCATGAACAATTAATGCGCTTTTGACTTGAAGTCCCATCGAATGATCTGAGTCTATGTTTCGCAAAAAAAGGAATAGCAGAATATTGCTTTTGGTTAACTAACTGAACAGCAGAATGGCCTCTTGTACAAACAGAAGTTTCACTTCGTTCATTTTTAACGGTTGGGTTATTAGTCTTGCACTCTTTTTCAGACCCCATAAAAGTATACGATGATTTCCGGTGAGATAATGAAGGGGTGGAATAGGGAGTAGATATTTGCTTTTCATTAACTTTAATGGTGCCTATCGACATTAGTAGGACTGAAATATGAAGTATGGTCATTCAAAATATAGACAATGTCTTTACAAGAATCAAAATAATTTGTAAATAACAAAAATGAAAGCAAGTTAAATAGAAAAATCTTGAAAAATACTAATTATTCCATAATAGCCACCCGATTTAAATATTTTTAATAAATTATTAAGCGTTGATTTCTAGTTTAATTGGCGAAAAAAATAAAGTTTAATATACCACTTGCAAAAATGCCAAAGCCTCTTAATTCACTAAGTATTTCAATACAAATATAGTCATGGATGGATTCAGCTTACTGACACAAGAGAAATTAACTAAAAACAAAAGTGCAATAATATATATGTACATATGAGCAATATACTAAAACAGTTTGAGCGCCTCTCGAGATAGCAACACGAGAAATTTTTGAAGGTTAAATGTGAATCGAATAAAAGAGTTTCTGCAAATAACAATTTATTCTGATAAAATAATTTGTTCTGTCAGCAAATAGCAGAATTATTTTTATTTTCATGTGAGCGATTAATTTAAATTCAATTATTGTGGCTTACTTGGCTTATATTTAATTTGAATTTTTTTCACTTGTATTCATATCCTCCAAGGTAAAATCTGATTTAATTATTCAACTGTTTTATGAACTGAAATACCTCCACTTGTATAATGCACAAATTTTGAACAAAAATTTATCATTACAGTTCAATTTAGCAATACGTCACTTATGCATTCATTACAACCTAATTAGCTTCCGAAATCAGAACATATTGTTGAATCACAAATACTTTAGTGGTAATCTATAACCAATGTTTACGAAAGGCAGTGAAGATGCTAATTAAAGTAATTGAATAAATATGCTAATCTATTGATTAACTAATAATAAATTGTCATCTCAACTTTTCTTGAATAAAATGGTACATTTTTATCAAACTCCTCCCAGCGAAACCTGTTTATTCACGCATGCAAACCTTTGATCATCTTCAAAGGCTCCGAATGTGTGAGTGGTAAAGGTCAAGCAGATGATGATGTTGAATTTCCGGGAGTTCGGTATTCTACGGCGAAGGATCGTATGTCTCCTAAAAGATCTCCGTTGGATCCGATTTTGATAGGAAAGATCAAGAATGAGATTTCCCAATACTGCAGCCTGTGTTTTTCAATATGAGAGGTCAGTTGTTACGAAGCCTTAAAAAGATGAGAATCTTTCCCACCCGTTTTAAGAGAAGTTGCTTGCTCATAATGCCAAGAGGTTTCTCATCTAGATCATTGAGCTTGGATGGTGAGAGAAAATGGTAGTCTTGGAGGCCACGAAAGTCATCAAATTGATCATAAAACTGATGCGCCGTCTGCCAATGAGTTTATTGATTGCGGCAAACTGAATGAACTTAGCGCTAGACCACGTTGAAAACGCAGCAAACAAGATAATACATGTCCAGGAAGACTAAGATCAACGTGAGAATAGATTCAAGATTAGAGTTTGCATTTTGTATATCACTTTTGCCGATCACTCAGATAGGACCTCAAGGCCGGTTTATGGTTTTAATGTGGTAGGACGGAACGAATTGATGCACGAGAGCTCTATTAGTGCTTACGAGACTAGCTACACTTACATTATACCCATTTTGCCAAAAAATTAGAAAATAATTATAAAATAACAAGTTTTATACAATACTCAGATAACAAGAATCCTTCGAGATCCGAAATCTTTCACTTATTACAAAGTCTTACTAAATCATCCATTAAAAGATATATAGATTTGAATCCATTGATCTCAACACGGATAAAAACACCAAATTTGTGTAATTCATTATTAACTAATGTAAAACAAAATTAACAGACACGAGAAATACGAATAAAAGATAAACTGATTTGTGAAAATAAGGTACATAAAGATCGGGATTACGTTGAAATTGGTCAAAAGCACTTTTACATTTAGGAGTGCAAAAAAGCAAGTGAAAAAGGAGGCAGATATTAATGGCATTAATGTATTATGGAGATAACGTATTAATGCATACTTTCATCCCCCGGGTGTGATGATTGATCTAAAATCGCGAAAAAAATCGAGCTATTAAAATCAAATCGTGAATAAAAATAGACAAAATTAGTGGAAAGGGATTAACGCACCACCAGGAACGTGGCCTGAGTATGGAGACTGTGGAGTGACACTGTAGGTAGTCTGGGCCGTTGCATAGGGCGACTGTCTTTGCTGTTGGGGCAAAGCTGTTTGCTCATAGACGTTGAGGTGAGGAGAGGCGTAGCCAGGTACAGGCTGAGAGACTCTTGAATATGAAGGTGGTAAGTAACCCATATTGTAGTGCTGCGATGGTTGGCTCTCAGAAATAAGATATTGTGCGGGGCAATCTGAATGACTACCCACGGAAACTGCCGCCTCAATTGGGGATTGACGGTGTTGGGGTGCGGAAAAGAATTGAGACGATTGGTTTGTCTGAGTATGCAACTCCATCTGTTGAGATGGGGACTGGTGGTATCGATATTCCGATTCATACTGTGGTGCTTGGCCTGTGGAAAGAAAGTAGGCATTTTACATATTAATGAAAACATACTCCACAAGAACCTAATGACACTATTTGCTTTAAAGGTAGCTTTGTAAATGCTACTCCAAGTGATATAGAAAAGTGACGACTGTTGCTATTTGTATAAAGTATAACATATGAATATCTAGCGAATGTGAATTTAGAATCTAATTGCTTACATTAAATATAGCAAAAGATACAATCATCTGCTTAGCCGGTAACAGGGAGTAAAACAAGAATCGTTTTAAAAGCCTTGTTAACCAATGAAAATAGTTTGAAAATATACAGCACTACTCCTTTTTGAGTCCAGATAATTAAGATTCATGGCTAAGCATAATCACAATTTGGAATTTAAGCGGTAACATCTGACGAAAGTGCCAATTGTACAAGTCAGCTCCTACCTACTTTACTAGAGAAGCTGAATACCTTTAATTAGGGCTTCCCCTTGGATACTACAACTAAATGTAATCTAAAACAAATAAAACTCACCGCCCTTAGTAGGTAGCTGTTCTTGACCCTTATGGGACAATCTCTGTTGGGAATAAGATATGGGCTGTTGTGATGTGGTCATTTCTCCACTACCGCCACCAGTGTCTGCGGAAGGCATTTGCTGTTGAGGGATGAATCGAGGCCTCTCCTTTACAGACCCAGTTCCCACTCGACTAAAGATAACAGGAGGCTCAAAACCCGCCTCTTCAACACTGGTTGTAGAAGATGCATTCGGTGTTTTCGCAGTAGTAGTAGCTTGGTAAGGACTTCGCTAAAGAAGAGACGAAAAAACACACTCGTATACACTGTATTATCCTGATCTTAATGCCTTGACTATGTTTTCTTAGCAGATAGTCGTGAGGCACAGTTGTACAAAAGCCAAAAACGAGGATCTGATTTCAACTTTGAGTTAATACAGCCTAAAAGCCAGCATGGAGAATATTTGTTGGATGAAACGATCAATGAACGGGCTCCGCATCGTTGAACAAGAAATCGGATTGGACCAAATGATTGGTCAAATAAGAAATCCCAAATTCTTACAATGGTTTTGATTATGCATTTTCATTACCCAAGTCGAGTAATGGAGATTTCAAATAACCATTGCATAGTAATGGAATGTATAAATATCGATCAAACATTAAGAACATGACCTCCGCTATTATACCTTCTGCAAATGTGTTCAAGGAGGGGAGTGAGGCAGCAACTGCGAATGGAATAACGAAATGATACATGCATAAGATTAAATGAATTGACATTATAACATGTAGACAGTTCTGGAGGAATTAAAGACGGAGTTTTATAAATAACAGACAGGAAAAATTTAAGTATTTTGCCAAAACACGACCAATTCTGTTAGTTGAATTTAATCAAGTGGCATACGGAATCATTTTCTTGCCATGGTCCTGAAAACGCAAAACAGATTAAGGAATTATGGCGACACTACCCAATCTTATAAACCTGTGCAGCTTAGGATCACGAAAATCAAAGAAATGCAAGGTTCATTAATTAAAAAATTGCATCTAGTGACAAATACAACCTAAAATAAGAGTATAAAACATACAGAGCTATAAGTGATAAAATGGCAACAACTAATGGATAAAAACTATACTTTTCCGTATCGAAATTTCAAATGATAGCTATGGATCATTGACTTAGAGACTGATTAGTGAATTTTAATAGTCATACATGAGGTGAGTCAATGGGAACAGCAGAAGCGGGAGTAGCTGCTTGATATGGAGGTGGTGGCGGAGGCGCAGTTTCTGGATGAGTGTGGTGGTGTGGATGTTGCTGATGACCGCTAACGACTGAAGTTGCCGGTAATACAGGCGGTGAACAAAGAGAGGGTTGAGCACCGCCACCGACTGGAACACTACTGCCGGGGGAGGCAGCAACAGAGGGGGAGGAACCACTGGAACAGCGCGTAGTCTGTTGTTGTTGTTGCTGCTGTTGCATGACAAAACTCGACTCAAACGACGGCGAGGATGCGTGCGTAAATCCTAGTTGTTGCTGTTGTGATGGAGACGAGGCAGGATAGAATGAACCAGGGGCTGGAGGTCGCATGTGTCGCTGCGGTGGTGCTGTTGGATAGTTATAATTCGAACCCGGATGTGAATACATCTGTTGCTGCAGATGTGGATGTTGATACATGCGCTGAGAAAAAAGAATAGTTCGATCAAACTCATTTAATAGGTATTGCAAAGCAACTTTATTTTCAACGACCCAAATAAATTTCCAAATGTACATTTAATCCACGCGTCAATACTCCAAATATTAAATCAGTTTCCAAATAATACCGGCATTGATCCAGGTAAAGGAATCAATTTAGAGTTTACCACAGGGAAAAAATGACAATATTTATTGATGAAGTAAGATGGTTTCGATGTTATTAAGACATGACACATACCTGTGTCGGCTGTGGTTGATTTTGTTGAGGCATTGTTGCCTGGGGTGGATTTGGTGACATGCCCATCTTCATTGCAAGTATTTCTCGCAGTCTTTGGCGTTCTCTGTCACCGGGAGATGGGCCAGCCGATTGTGTTGGAGATTGCAAGGAAGTGGAAGGCTGCGAGAGTTGAGAACTAATGTGGCCGCCCTGGTGAATAGACGGACCGTGAACACCACCACCATAGTGTTGTGGAATGGGAATTGATGCCTGCATAGAAAAAAACGGTATAAGAGCCACCAACAAGGCAAGGTGAGTATTTACCAAGCACAATAGTGTATAACTACTCAGATGAAAGGATTACAATGTAAATAGTCTAAAGGAGAGCGATTTCTAAAAAAATATCCTGAAACATAAGACCATCCTAAACTCCTAATAAACAGACTAAATCTATTATCTTCCCTATTTATCAAGAATAGTCCTTTATTAAGATTACTGAACGCTCACTGATAGATAACGACTCTGTGAACACAATTTTATTGATGGAAGAGATCTAATTTACTTCACTTTGTCTTGAAAGCAAATTAATTTAACTTAGCATTCGAATAACATGAAGAGGAAGAGTGCGTTTACAAAAACCTTAGAAGAGATAGAAGCGCATGTCTACCATCAATCATATGGATTGTGGCATAGATAAGAAAAAAACCTACTTGCTGCATTATTGAGCCAGTTGCATAACGAGTCTGCGGGGGCTGCTGCATATAATGCTGCTGTTGATAGTGCTGCTGATGCAACATCTCCTGCTGATGTTGCTGAAACATGAGCTGTTGTTGTTGTTGGGCAGGAGAAAGGGGAGAGGCAAGACTACCACCACCAACAACACCCGGTGACCAACGAACATGCTGCTGCTGCTGCTGTTGTTGTTGTTGTTGTGAAGACGATGCGGGTGGTGGCATTGGTGAATCCACACTAGAAGCAGTAGGCCATGCTGGTGGCGGCGGCGGCAGTGGTGGAGGCAAATGTGCTCCCTGTTGCTGCTGTTGAGGTGGGCGATTCATCTGCACAAAAGGAAAGACACTATTTACCTTTGCAAAAAAGGAATACCAAAATAAATATAAAAAATATAAAAAGTTCGCCAAACAGAAGCACCGACAAGGGATGCTGAGGCCTTCTAGGCACGCCAGGCAAAACACAACAACGACATTACCAAAACATGACCATATGAGAATTACCATGGATTGATCAGGGGTGCCTGCAGAGAGGTGAGGCTGTTGTTGTTGGAATGGGGTGGCGGGGGAAACAGGCTCAGTAGAATGTGAAGGGGCTGGAGGCAGAGATGTGGGCCCACCACGTCGTTGCGAGCCCCCAACAGAACCACCAAGAAGAGAGCTGCTAGGTGAGAGAGAAGGAGAGGGCTGTGAAGCCGACACAGAGGGCGGGTCACGGTGTTGAGCCTGGAAGTGCAAAGCACCTTGTGGTTGTTGCTGATGATGCTCAGGCTGCTCTTCTGCAGAAGTAGGTGACTGCCGTTGTGAAGCAACTTGTCCTTCCATAGGAATTGCATTACTTCCGCCTTCTCCCTCCTGAATCAAGAATAAAAATTTATGCATAAAATAATGTGCTAAACCTAGATAATATATAACAAAATTTGTATTTTGTGGTATTTTGAAAAGCAGTCCCATGAAATGCCATTTACTTGGCCATTGTAACCCTTACCATAGTATGCCGTTGACTATATAGTCCTTGAAAACGCATATCTACCATATTTTATTGACTATTTCTCTTTTAACGCCCTGCTACAATTGGAAGCAACAAAAATTTATTTCTGATTAAGAACTATAAGTATGCTAAGCCAAAATCCTCATCAGCTACTTACCAACACGCATAATGACTGGCAAAAATGTTGCACTCATAAAATATCCAACCTTACGAAACTACACTGCGGGAGACGCTGGTAATGACAAAATGGTTGTTTCCTCTTTACCTGCTATCCTCCAAAATCAAGTGAAGCATTTTGCTAAAAGCTGGACAGCAAAGAAAACCGACACAATTAATAAAAGAAACGCACAACTCCTAACGAATGCTGATCTGACTCCACAGGAGCTGGAAATGCAGAGGTATCTGGAACTCTTGATTGTATTGGAGACTGAGCATTGAGTTGTGAAGGGGGCGAAATATGCTGTTGATGCATTATTTGATGAGATAGTGGCCTTTGAGGTTGCTGGAAGGGTGGCTGATGATGAGTAGGCACAGGTGATGGTGCATAGTCCGGCAAAATCGATGTCGTGTTGCCACCGGAACCGTGGCCACCAGCAGGCGCCCCAGGAGGCATTCCTGAAGATTGAGGAGGCTGCTGTGGATAGGGAACATGGGGAGAAAGAGGTGTACTAACCCCGCTACCAGCCGTCTGCAACATCAAGTGCTGAGTATGAATACTTGCTCCAGGGTCCCGAGGAGAGGTGCTTGCTGCTCGAGATTGTGTTTTATTTGCACGAGCTTGGGTCTACAATTATAGAGAAAATAACCTTAAACATTGCAAATCATGAATATTTTTCTATTGTACCTACTAAAATAGTCACTTTCAGTCTCTTTTCCGAATACTCTTTCTTTAATAACCGAATAGTGGAAGCTTATAAGTAACCAGAAGATGCAAAACGGTGACTGTGTGCTTTACTGGGCACTCCCTTCATTTATAATTAACTAATCTACCACAATAATTCAATACAATTGCAATAAAACCTGCATGCAAAACTATAATACGATTTACAGCTAACTAACAAGTGTTCCATAGAAACTTAGTTAATCATGATACGGTACATTACCAATGCAGAACATTTCTATGATGCTGATACTTTGCTCAACTTTTGAAGAAACCTAGAAGTTGTGACTGTTTGAGAAAGATCCCCTTACATACGGTAACACATTCTCACCCAAAAAGAAGGCCATTCAAAGAACTTACAACAAATTGAGAACGCCTATCAGAAGGAAGGCGACGCCACAATTTTTGTATTTCGCGAAACCTAGTCCGCGAGTCGGGATACTGTGCCCTGAGAGTGGGATGCATGATATTGGCATAAAGCACCGGCGCGATAGAAGACCTCTCACCGAGCCGTTCTTCATCCTCCCACTTCTCACTATTGAGACGCCGTGAGCCGAAATTAGCGCTGCTCGTAGTGGACATCGTTGGACCACCTTCAAAACCTGGAGGCAATGGGGTCTGGGGTTGAGTCTGCAGTACTGAAGGCACAAGAACATCTCCAGGAAGTTGCTGTTGGCTGTTGCCAGAGACACCCAACGGAATCTCCATTGCACGTCGAGAACTTATATCTACAACAACGATAGCAACAAACTGAGATACAAATACTTTTATTCTTGAAAAAAGTAGAAATTCGAAACAGTCATTTATAATATCCCCACAGCACGTTCCACTGTCCGATTCTATTAATTCAATAACTATACTTATTGTATTCACCAAATGTAAGTTTGTAAAACCGTACGCCCGCTTCCGATGGCACGCGTAATACATAACAAAAAAATATAAACTCTTGAGAGGCGGTGTCCGAGATATTTTTTGCTTTAAACAGACATTGAAGTTAAGCATCAATATCTCAAAATAAGAGACCTTTAAAGAGAGCAACAACTTTCACTCTTCAAAACCGATATCCTCGAACGTAATTTTGCTCCCCTAAATGAATAACCAGAGCCAGGTTCAACTCTTACAATTGATCAAGTACAAAAACACTTCGAACTTTACAAATACTAGTTGAGAGACAAGTGACAAAAGGTTTACCCCGTCGAAGCATAGTTTTCAGTTGTTGATTTGAAAGCAAGCCACCTTCAGGAGCTGGTACAACAGATGGGAGCATCTGTTGAGAGGATTCATAGGCTGGGTAATGTGCTTGACGCGGTCCACCACTGGATGATGGGCCTGATGGAATATGACTTGGACTCATTCCTCGGTAAGCACCGGTAAATCTTTGTTGCTGCTGCTGACCGGGCGATAGATAAGTCATTTGTGATTGATATTGAACGGGAAGGGGGTATCGTTGGGCCACTTGTGGTTGGGTCGGCGGTCTCCAACCAACAGGACTTTGTGTTTGGGGTGGCTGCCTTGACGATGATCCTGGATAAGGCGGTGGCGGAGGTGTACTTTCAGGTGGAGAGTAACTCGGTTGTTGCTGCTGGTGAGGAACGTAGAATTGTTGTGGTCGCTGCTGTGGCATCATTGGAGTAGGAGGAGGGAATTGCTGGGGGGTTCTTGCAGAATAAGCTGATTGAGGTTCATTCTGAATTGTCGAGAAAGGAGACTGCGCAGAAACCTGTGACTCAGGTTTTGGCGGTGGAGAGGCAACATCTGATGGAAGACCACTGCTTCCCCCTCCATCCGATTTCTCAAACTTTGTCAACTGAGATTCGATATCAAGAGCACTCAATTCAGGCAACATTTGAACATCCACTTGTGACTGCTGACTTGGAGTAGCAGGAGTAGTTTCTTGATTAGGTTCTTGTGAACCTGATGGAGACATTCGTTGCCCCTCATCTGGGAACAAGGGCCGACCCTGCTGTTGATATATCGCATCTTGTGATACCTGGGTCTATAAAAGAAATAAATTAAAAGCGAGCGTCATTGTGATAATTAAAGCATTTTCGAATAGGAATCAAACCCTTGAAGACAGATCCTGAGTTTGTTTCGAATCAATAAACGATTGTGTTTGTTGTTGATGTTGTGAAGAGGGGGGATCGGTAAAGACATTCATCGGCACACCACCAGGAATACGATTTAATGAAGACGATTCGGTTAGGGTAGTGGAAGTTACTGGAAGTAGACGTGCAGTCGTTTCAGCAGATTGAAAACTGTTAGCCAGTGTCAGGAAATCGTCAACAAACATTTCGTTTACATCATCTAGACTGGGTTCAGTTTCACGTGAAGGAGCTTGTAATTTTGCTTTCAAAGTTGGCGACTGAATGGCGTGTGATTTGGCATCTGCTCCCACGCTAACAGAAGTAGACGGAGCATTGAAAATTTCATCGACATCCCTAGCCTCTTCCTCAAAGCTACCAATAGTTCCTTCATCTTCAATGCATTCATTATCGTCCAAAGGGTCTTCAAGTAAATCATCCACACTCGATGCAGCGACTCCGGAGGCAGCACTGGCAGCAAATGGAGACTCGCCAGGCCAAAGACTTGTTCGAATGCTAGGGCCACCAACAGGAGTGGGTGAGGTCAAACTGCTTCTAGGACTGGGAATTTTGGACGATTGGGACGAGCGATTCCATGAACTTTCCTAAAATGACCACAGACAATTTAGTAATTAACCTCAATACTGAATGTCGCGTTCGTTTATGCAGGAAAACGATGTTCAAGGAGATAACACAAAATTATCCCTAACGACCTTAAAGCTTCTGTGAAGTGTGAAATGACAGTCTTTGATAATTTTACCGAAAACAGACACGAAACGAAAGCCCGCCACATTGTCCGTTTAGGTCTTATAAATTAATAATAGTTAAAGCGCCATCTTTCTAATTATCATGCTTGATTGAATTTAACACCTAAACTTACTCAATTCATAATACAAAAACCTCGATGGCTTACGGCTTTTCTGAAACCTCCAGATTCACCGAGTGAATACTGGTCGGTTATAGAGAGAGATCGACTAGGAATTGATGAACAAGCTGCAACAGATGTGGTAGATGGTTTTCTTCTGCGTTTTATGCCGACCACAGAGCCCGCTCCGCTCGTAGCACCAGGTTCATTCGATGCTGAAGCAAGCAGTTTTTCACTGAAGAAGGCCTTCATTAAGTAATCGGGATACATTTCCTCCAAATCCGACTTCTTTTTATTGGGACGACGCTTCTTACCCATTGGTGGAACCACTGCATCTACTGCCGCAGCTAATTGTGACTTCTTATTCTAAAAATAAAATTTATCAGTCATTATTAGAAAATCAAAACAAATAATTTGAATATGTCTTTGATTATAAATTTTGTCATTTAAATTCTAAGTGTATTGAAACAAAGTATTCGTTTATTGTCACCTAACGATAAGTGTTTCAGAAATTGATAATATGGTAAATATCTACGATAATTTAACGAATTCTTTGCTCAGTCAATTAGTACGGCACACCAGAAATAGAGTTTGGATGATTAAAGTGTAGGTGACTGCTACGCCACACGCTAGTATTTCGTTCTATGGTGGAAAGTTTGAATGGCTAACCTGATGAATACGAGGAATCTTGGCACGAAAACCCCCCAAACCAAGATTGCAATGACGTCGAGGAAGTGTGCTAGGTTTAACGCCACCTTTTTTGCAAACGCCAGGAGCCTAAATGGGAAGCAAAGAAGCGATAAAAAAGAGAGAAGATGGAGGATCAGGAGTAAGAAAATGCGCATACATTTGAGAGGGAGGTGGATGGTCCAGATCCAAGTGTCGAAGGAAGTTCAGATGCAAAGACAGAATTAGTAGCAGCACCACTTGTAGTAGCTGTTGAACTTGAATCCCCTGTGGCACCACCACCATGGACAGTATCCTCTTCCGACACGACACTTCGAGGCGATTTTGCCATTTCTCCGTAGACCGCAGATGTAAATTCTGAATCGGCATCCACACCAGAATGCTGACTGACATCCTCATCCACCTAACGATAAAAAAGGATATTAAGAAATGCATTTCACTTGGCATCTAAAAAGGTAATGCTAGATTATTAGAATCAGAAGTTGAAAAAAACTTGCCGGTGTGTAAACGGAAGGCGGACCAGTGTCCATAACTGAATGATTATCTGCTATAGCTGTTGAAGCATGATTTTTCTGTCGTGGCCCAGTAGGTGGACGCTTTGGTGGATTCTTTATCATCGCGTTGCGAATTGTATTCAACCCATTTAGAGTTAGCACAACTCCATGCATGTAGAAGAGGCTTTATATGAAATGCAAACAAATTCAAGTTTGAAAAGATTTACAAAACGATCAAATTTGGCAAAAGGTACTAACGTTGGATCAGAAGAATCCTGCTCATCGTCAGATCGGGCAGCAAGAGAGCCAGTAGAATTCATTCCAACAGCCTTATCACCAAGACAACCATCAACACTCTCCGATCGCCAAGTGGCAGGAAATGGCACCACAGGACCATTGACCTTGCGAAAGTCCAATAACTGCTGATGGTTAGGCCCATATTTTGACCCAAGTTCCCGACAAAGAATGCAGGCATATCTCCCATCATCAACTACGAAGTCAGCCTCATCATCAGTGCGAATTTGATCACAACTACCGTGCAATGTGCGGTTGCATTCGGAACATTTGACAAGAAGTTCCATATCATGATATGGTTGTGTACACACTGGACATTTGTCAAGGGATGCACAAGGGCCACAGAGAGTATAGCTTTCGCACCATTGGCAGTTCTTACCAGGCGTTTTTTTCTCACAACGGTGGCAATATACGCAATTGTTACATTTCCAAGACCCCTACGAGAAAAAAAACAGTTCAATTCATGGAGAGGATAATATAGAAAGACGAAAATGACCTAAACCACTGAGCAAATTAAACATGGAGACATATAGAGAAAGGCACACGGAAACAAAGGGTATCTTTGGGGTATACATGAAGAGGACTAGTAGCAAGCGACGCGTTTCAGCAGTATGCTGTACATCTACATCTAATAGTGGCCTACACATTTAACGCTACCTCCACAACCATATTACGTCTTCGTTTACGCTGAGAAGATGAGCGTGCACTGGCGTTGTTGCCTACCTTTGGCACATCTGCAAGAGGTGGATCAAGGCAGAAAATATGGTAGCTTATGTCACAATCATCACAAAGAATCAGTTTGTCCTCATCATTGGCTTGACCGCAAATTTCGCAGATTGTGCAATCAAGACAGCGCCAACCCTTCTCTCGAATAGTTCGACCCACGTTTTTTAAATCTCCACAGTAGCTGTGATATGTCTGACCACATTGGGCACAGGGAATCAGTGGACTTGTGTCTAAACCGAAGGAACCACATGCGACACATATATCCTGCTCCAGAGAAAATCGATCATCTTTCCGGGCGATTATCACAGTGGTTGGATGATCGTCTTTTTCGTTATTCCCTCCGGACTCATTCTAAAAGGAGAAATAAATAGAGGATTAAAATAAAAAGTGGAAACCTCAGCAAACATTAGAAAAGAAACGCCGAAAAAGTTAGACTTTGGCGCGCAAGCCAAGCTTATATATCAGGCGCAAAGCTGCAGCAACTAAATAGTGGTGCAGACTACAACCCCCCCCCCCCCCCCCACCAAACCTCTCTAATACTACCCTCGCGACTGCATGGGTGCGGATCAATCAAAAAGATGACACGAGAATCGATTACTCATGATGAAGGTCAATTACATATAGGCGAAGCAATAGCAGCAAAGTCGAATAAAATCCGTTACACTACTTCTTTGCCCTAACAATTAAAGTTTTTACTGATACGAAAGCATTAAACTAGCATTGGTTCTGCAAGCAGCGAGAAAGGAAGGATTAGTATATAATTCTTATGTTAGGCAAGGATATGATCAACACCAATAGCAAATGGATAATTAACAGAGGTAGTTAAGACGAGAATTCAATCTTTAAATCCAACGTGAACGTTGCTTCAATAATCTTTAGGAACCACTAACCAGAAAGAATGGTCAGAAAATTAAACTCTTCGAATGCGAATAAAAAAATAACGAATAATGGTGCTTGTAGAAGTTAAATGGAATTAATCTCTTCGTAAGCCATTCTATTTCTCAGCAAGAACCATCAATTTTTTCTTATCTTCCAAACAATTTGTGTTGAACTAATGCAGAGACTGTAAGCTTGAACGAGTAAATAGTAGCATTAAATTGAATGAAAAAATGTAAAAAACAACCGAGTTTTTGTAAGTTGAATAAAAAGAAACCAGAAAAAAACAAAAACGAAATCATTTACTCGAACTGCCCAACAAGATCTGTCGTCGACTTGGCGAACAAGACGCATCTAGAGGACGCGAAAGCAGACAACAGTGACTTTAAGCAAGGGTATTTAGGAAAAAGAACAACGAACGAAAACAAGTAAAACACATAAATTGATACATTTTGGATTTCCGACAGGACACTTCTCTCGAAATTACTTGGTCGACCTCGCCTTTTGAAGCGACATTTCGAATTCAATGGCTCATCACTATGTGCTGCCATCGAGTTGGCAGTAGGCCGAATATCCTGAACCGAAAAAGGTAAGAATGATTGCGCTGGAGCTATTTCTACAACCTGCTGAAAGAACATCCGTATGTAACGTACATAGAGTAGGATAGATGAGTACATGGACGGTAGTTAAAATGGTTGAAAAACTCACAATTCCAGCTTTGCGACCCTTTGTTCTTCGAGAACGAGTTCCACTAAAACTGGCCGAGCTTGATACTGAACCGCAAGCTGAGCGTTTACCCGTGGCAGTCTTTGGGAATTGTGGTGGCTTTACCGGAGGTACTGGATACAAATTTGAAGCAACTGAACCGTAAACCTAAGCAAAAAAGCAAAAGGTGTCAATATTAATGACATATCGGAAGGCGCTTTAACTCAATTTATGCACCTTATGCTTAAATGCATCTGAACCTTCAGTTTTCAGACGTTTTCTAGTCAGTTCTCCCATACCCATCGAAACAGATTTGGTCTTTGTGAGACTGCCTACTGGTCGACCCACAGACTTATGAGAACGTGTGGTTCCTCCAGCTACTCCCATCTTTTCACCTCGAGATTTAGGAGATACAGAGGTCAAATAAGCCGCTACTGCACTAGGCTGCTTATCGGCATCCATTGATCCAGTAGAAAGCTTATTTGACAAGACGCTGGGAGTAGAAACTGATGGTTGCTGGGCAATGGTGGCACTAGTACAGGCAGTAGTATTGAGCTGTGAATCATCTGGAAGTGAAGGACTAGCACTGGGATCACCCAAATCACTGCCACTTGCACCAACAACAAAAGGGCCTGTACGAAGACCGGCAGTTGCTGAGTGGGCTTCACTTGAGATTGCTGAATCCCTATTTCTGCATGACGGGCAAAAGTAGGCAACAGTCATATTAGAGGGAGCCAGAGAGTCCTCAAAGCCGATTCCAACAGAAACAGCACCAGTAAGTGGAGAGGAGGAATGGGGTGAAGCTTGGCCCGTCGGATCACAGTCATAATGCACCATTCGACGACACCCGATGCATTGCCGCCCGGGCCATGAACTAGAAGTTGCTCCACCTGACTATAGAAGGCAAAATACTGATTAATTCCTTCATTTTAATAAGTTATATCTTTCAAGCTAGACACATGGAAGAAGTGTTTATGGACATTTAACGGAGATAGAGGAACTTCAAATGTAAAACTAAAACTACAGAAAACAAATATGATAAAATGAAGTAAATGAAAAAAATATATATTTGCACATCACATCCACACAAATTAACATAGTTGAGAAAGGCTGAAAGACACAGTAGACTGCAATCTGGCATTGGAAATATTCTATGTCGGCGAATTGGTTGCAGGTAAACCCCGATGGAAATGCGTCCTTGCTTGCTATAATGATCAGTCTCCACAATAGCATTGCAGTCTCTAGAACGTCTATAGCATATAAGTTCAGTAAAGCATTTTTTGAATAGTTCGACAATTTCGCACTAACTGCTTCGCTAGCTGAGATAGTGTAGATCTACTATTTGTAGCTGAGTGCGGATATCGATAACTTGATGTGAAGCAAAAATTAGAAGTAGATCAGCACAAAATAAGAACACGGAGTCAAAATCAAGTAGCGGATAAAATCAGCCTAACGAAAAATTGACTAATTGAATAAAAATTTAATAGTATAGCAGCAAAATACATGAAACTAAAAAGTGCACAAAATTGTAACCATCAAATTGACTATATCTTTTTCTATAAAATACTAGATTTTGATAGAAACCATTAATACATAAAAGAAAATCAGCATAAAGGACTTACACGGACATAAATATGTAGAAACAGGAGTTAGCAGAATGTTCATTCGCCCGATCTTCTATAATCAAGACTAGATCTCAACAATGCAGACGACACCAATACCTTCCCGATTTCTGCTATTAGTGTATCTACTATGGTGCCAGAGTGCACTGATCTTGGAACCCCTAACGAGAAACATTAAGATAACCATTTCTTGACCAACATTATCCAATACGGTCGGTCAACCTAAACCCTGAAAGTAAACTAATGAATAGACACCAGTTGACGGCTACATCAATATTGCGTTAATCACCTTATAATAAGCTATTACAACTTCCAGTTAACATTCTTGATACCTTAAGGGAAAGAAAATAAGCCGAGAAACTTTGTACCTGATTTAAAACGGAATAAAACTCAGTAGAGAGAAGCTTACATTGAGACAGCAGCGCCAAGCACGTTCGCAAACAGCACAACAATTAGCCGGAAGTTTTCGAGTGTTGAAACAACGGTCACAAAGAGTATAGTTATTGTACCATCGAATAGCGGTTCCCTGTAAAAATATATGACTAACACTTTGTCCTACTTGATCTACTGTGCCGCTTTTCTTCGAAGGAACTTTTGTAAGAGAAAATTGTCGAAGACCACAATCCATGCAAATCCGACAGCGCTCGCATTTGAATCCGTTTTTAGGTATGTCAGTAACCGGTGGTATCAAGCAATATGTATGAAATCCTCTATCACAGGTATCGCACATGACCATTTTCAGATCGTCCTTACTTTCCCTAATATAATGTGGTAAAAAGAACTAAATAAAATTAAACCTGCAAGTAAGGCAAGTCTTGCATTCGGGGCATTGCCAACCGACTCGAACAGTAGGACTGAGTACACCAGATGGCTCAAGACATTGATTGTGAAAATTGGTACTACAGCTGCTACAGAAAATCATATCAGATACGTTCTTCTTCTGGTCGCATAAGGGGCAAGGCGAGGCTGCTTCTCCCAATGTGCTCACCAAGTCCATGTGAGTTGGACAGAAAATAAGATACAATTTGCCTTCCCGAAAGCAACCGGCCGCAGAGGCACAAGAAACATGGAAACTACGAGAACAGCCGTCAGCGCGACAAGGAATGCTAGCTCCAAAGCGAAGACACAATGAGCATACGGTTTCAAGGGCTTTGACAACCGCTTCTTCAATGCCCTCAAAATATCCTGACTCAGTCATTTTAACACCAAAAGACCATAAAGCACATGGACGATGAGCGTAAAAAACATTTCCGGATGTACAAGGCTCAATGAGATTTTCTAGTACAAGTTTAACACCTTCAGGATTCCAACCAATTTCTCCTAATTCATCAATAAAACCAAAAGGACGGCCATCCGAATCGATGAATACATTCGAAAGGCCATTTAAAATAGGCCGGCCATCCGCCTCAAGAATTTGGCCCTCCTGCAAACGCCGACATGAATCAAGAGAGCAATGAGGACCAACGAGGTTGCAAGATGGAGTAAGAGGAAGAGACGCTTTAAAGGAATGCTCAGGTTTTGATATACAAGATTTATACTTTTTATCAATAATCAACTGAGGGATCGGTAAAGGCTGTCTCGTTGTGGGAATTGGGATGAGATCACCAAGACAGAACATAGACGATGAGTCCATTGCACAAAAAGCACACAAAGATGGCACACTAAAGGACGAAGAAGATGGATTCATTTCGTCTAGGCACTGACTTGAAATTGAATGGCAGACGTTATCCATAATTAAATAAAGCAAGGCGCAAGTTCGTTCTTATTATCAAGAATCTAAAGTCAGAATAATTTATTCATTTAAATGCTTAGTGAATTATAAAAAAATAAAATAGCATAAGTGGAACACCTTACGCATACCAGGATTACTTACGCTTAAATTATCGATGAAAACAAAAACCATTAAGTATAAGCTTAAACTACGCGGCAAAACTTTCGCAAGAACTGAAAGAGGCGCTTTCATTAAATTCAATATGTATATGTATGGGAAATGACCTCTTCAGATTGATTATTAAGAGAAATTAAATTAATTAATTTAAATATCAGTTATAATCTAACCATTAAATAACTAAATTAAGATAACTATTTTGATAATATTATTTGAGAAATCACAGTGAAACAACTCTTGTATGTTTAAATATTTGATATTCGTTAGGTCTACATAAGATACCCAGCAACTTTTCAGTCATTTATATTTTATTTGGCAATCTTTATTTAATGAAAGGAAATTTGTGGTGAAAATCTCTTATTATGAGACAAAGATTAAACCTACAAATCAAAAAATGTGTGATCCTGTAGATCAACTAATCATATATTTAATTGCCTGATAAACCCTAAGCTGTTATATTTAAAAATTAATTAAGTAATTAGAAAAATAATTAAATATTTTAAACTATATGATATATATCGATATGAATATGTATTGTAAATAAAGTGAACTAATTGCGAGAAGTAATGTACGACCCACTTGTCCCTTGCACACTCAATGGCCTTCTCCGGCCAGTAAATGCACATGTGTGCACGAGTCAAATCGAACAGCTCACCCATATATAGTTTGAGTATAGGTTGAGGCCACTTCGTGAACAGTTGCTCTAATCATTCCTTTTTCCTTATAAAACTGGCTATTCGGTATGAAGAAACCAGCTACTAGTTTTTTCGATTGGTCTTTCGTAAATAGTTTCCATTTTGAAAATCGATTCGTACGTCAGAATCGCTACGCTCCTCCACCAGAGTTTTCCCTGACTTAGACTTCGCAAGTATTTATTTATTTATTTCAAACGGCAGGCATTTTGATAGTTATCATTAGCCCTTTAGCTGACTTCGGGCTTCACAGAAGGGAGGAACATCAAAGTGAGAAAAATTCGACAAGGGAAAAGAAGAGCGTTTCAAAGATATAAAAGAGACAGACAGACACAAAGGCGGAGAAAATGTTAGATGAGTACGGTGAAAGGGGTCGAATATGACATATAGTGTGGTCATGGTAGTTTGAAGTCAGAGGTCAACTGCCAGTTGAGTTCTGGTAGTTTGAAGTGAGAAGTCAACTGCCGATTAAGGATCTTTTTGCCTTATGAGTATACGTTGCCCAGGGTGCACCACATTTTGCCGTATGAGTATGCGTTGCCCAGGGTGCACCACGTTTGTTTGCCGTATGAGTATACGTTGCCCAGGGTGCACCACGTGTAGGTAAGTCTATCGCGCACCCTCTACGCAAGCATAATTCATTACATTTCAGAGCTCAACGTGTGTGCTCATGCTCCTCCCCAGTGACGGTATCCATACTTCATATACCCATCCACCTACAACTACATCATGGAACGGTCCAGTGGTGCCCTCGTGGACCCATTAATGCCAAGTAAGGTCTGCGTCAAGAGTACAATGGGATCCCATCTTGCTGTGCTGTACTACGAATGTGTGGAAGTCCAGCATGAACTTAATTTCACCATGCCTAAATGTTTCGTAGGGACTTTTGTCTGCCAAACATGTAAAACGCCTTGGTCCGTGTTTCAAGACATTGCGAGTAAATCGTCTATGTCATCCCCGATACCACAGACACCCGAGATACGGGGCACTCTGTCACTAACAAGTTATCGTAACTACTCATAGGCTTATTTGATCCGTAACCCCGGGAAAAGTAATGGCCCTGAAAGTTGAGTTGAGCAGGCTGAGGTAAGAAACATGCCTGGTTGGCTCACAGGCGATTCGGGTGCTAGTTCACACCTCTTGTCGTTTCGCATTGCTAACTTGGCGGGTAGTGCTGTCGACGGTGGTTGCGAACCATTTACGCGAACTGGACGTGGGCAGAGTGGATTGTGCAAATCCAAATCTATTTGTTAATTTAGGTAATTATTTGAATTTAATGTATTAAGCAATAATCGGCATTAGTTTTCTGTGTCTAGCTCTCATTCAGCCACCAAAATGAAGCTCTGAATATTTTAATCAAAACTGTAATTACTGCAAGTCCTCTTTGGATTAAAAATTTTTGCTTCCACTTTAGAATGGCCAGCTCAACCAATCAAGTAATACCACCCTGCCCCCTTAGAATTTTACTTAGAAATTAATTAATATCTATGATTTTGGAAATTGATGACGATACATTTATTTATATCAAATGTCAGGCGTTTTGATAGTTATCATTAGCCCTTTAGGAGGCGTTTTGATAGTTATCATTAGCCCTTTAGTTGACTTCAGGTTTTACAGAGGGAGGAAAAATCAAAGTCCAAAAAAGTGGAGAGGGGAGACAGAAGAGTGACTCACAGATGTAAAAGAGACAGACACAAAGGTAGATGAAAGGTGAAGTGAGTTCTGCGAAGGTGGTCGAATATGACATACCATCGAGTCATTGTGGTTTATAGGCTTTTTTAACCATATGAGTTTATGTTTATCGGGACGCACCACGTGGAGATAAGTCTATCACTCACCCTTGATGACGAAACATACAACCCCGAAATTTTAACAACTGTTTATTGCTTGCATTGTGGCAAGAATTTATGAATTTGTAAGACTTTAACAAAAGTGTCTGATTCTTCGTGGAAGCACAACCAACCCGAGTCTTCTACCAGGAGAACAAATTTTGCTATAATGAAAAGCACAACATGAAGTCTGAAGAAGGCTCTTGAGTCATGCAGACTAAATTTCCCCAAATTGTCGTGGCTTTGAATGTATATCCTCTGAGTGTGATATGGTGTAATGCCATCCTCCACATTTATGAAAGAAAGGCTTGGTTAAATTTATATGTCTACGTGGAATTTGCCGACCATTGTATTAGTTAGAATAGGAGCTAAAAAGTATTGGTTAGAACAGGAATAAAGCAGAAAATAAGATAGCTTGATCCAGGTTCCGGGTAAGGGCCATGCTGTCACTATAATAAACTCTAATAACAGTTATTTGGGGTGAAACGCCTTGGCAGTAGCGTAATTTCATTATCTACCGACTTTCTTAAATCTATCACTTGGTATTGTTATCGTTTCATTTTTTATGTTATTGTCAAATTTACTCCGAACACCCTGCATTTTTAACCTCATTGCTGTACAGGTTGAGTGGACACCGACATATCAGGTTACTGTGGCAACAAAATAATTCCCCAGAATTAATGTACTTTATTTTATTCATTTTATCTATTTATATACGGTGTGTCTATTTAAAAAGGAAAGAGATGAACCAGATATTTTTATTCATTGTCAGTGGAAAAAATGTGGCTGAAGCTCCCTCAATACACTCACTCGAATCTGTTATTTACCTATACACATATACGTGTACACCGCGATCTATAAAAAAAACACTTATTGTTTAGTTTTCGTTCGAGTGGAAGCACAAGCGGTCAGTGCAAGCCCCGAAAGTAGGCACGTGATTTAAGCTTCCGAAGAATCGAATTTTTATCATTTTTCTCGTAAGGGGCAATCTTAACGACAAATGATGACAAACTACGTATCTTTGCTTACAGCACTTCCATTTAATTTAAGACCCAGATCAATGGCATTTGAGAGGTTTATGCTTCTTAAAGAACTGAACAACAAACGTCATTATTCATTGATTCATCCTGACTCATTTTTATTAGTAGGAGTGTAATTTTCATACAATTAGTGGTGGAAATGACTTGGTGCAGGAGTTCCCGCCAGCTTGTTTCATATTTCCAAAAAAAACGAAACTGTATTAGGAAATCGGAAATGTGGAATAATATTAACAAAGATTCTGGAAAATACGAATCAATCGTTGATCGTTCGATTGATGATAGCGAAAAGCCCAAGTATTTCACTATAGAATTATTTGTTCTTGCTAACCTCGATAGGTGGTGGTATAAGAGGGACAGATATTTTACGACTTTAGTCGTATTTATTAAAAATTTAGTGGCATTCAAAGTTGGCGTATACCGTGAGCGTGTTTTTCGTCCATTACCATCCTTGAACTCGATTAAATGCCCTTTTTAGTAAACTCTGGGAAAGCGTTCCTAGTCTCCATTTAAAATTAAAAGCATTCATACAGGAAAAAATTGTGATGAGAGGAAGTTTCGTGAGAGCTTCTGAAATGCTAAAACATTTACTTATTCATAATGAATTTCCACTTGCAGCCACAAGATTTCAAATTTCTCGGCAAATTCTGGTTGGACTTTTGGAAAATATTCTTTGCGTACAACTTGACCCATCTATGACATAAATTTGGCAGCCTTTAGGCCTGGCATTTCAAAAGAGGTTATGTTAATGGAAAATAATCATTGGTTAAAACTACAACGATCTCCATTCTGAAAATTGAAGTTAATATTTCCACTCAGAATGTTGATGTTTCACTACTCATGACGTACATACTGACTCAGATCCACTTGTCATTTATCAAGTTCTGGTTGTTTGCACACTGACTCAAATAGAATAAAACTGGCAGCACCTCAGAACCTACCTTTCTTCTTCTGTCTGACGCAATCCAGATTGTCCCCCCCCCCCCTCCACTTTCAATTGTCCGATAAATCCGTTAAATGCTGCTGTTACCTTCTAGTCTTAGGGAGTCCAATAATCCTATGGGGTGATGTCTAGTCAAATTTGCTCCGGCTATTGAAGTGCCCATGCTTAGGATTGGGATTAGACCCAACCAGCATTTTTGGGTATTTGCATCAAAAGAGTACATTTGAGACAACATAATTTTAGCACATTGCTTTTGGTTGTCTCTCACTCACCTTCAGCGGATGCGATGAGGTCATAGGTGGCATAAGCAATCACTCATTATTTACGCAGTACAAAAACACCTCTACAGAATATTTGAAATATTTTAAAAACGCGAATAGATTTAAACATATCAGCACCTGCTTTTCACTCATCTTTCTTTTTAGCAACTGTGAATTATTATTTAAGCAAACCAAAAAATCATTAAACATATAAAAATACAATTCTTTAAAAATCTTGTGACACAACTTCCTTTGAAAATCCAAACACCACCTATCCTTTCAACTGGACTGGAAAGTCGATGGGTAACTTGAACTTCGTTTTGGCAGTTTTTAAATTTCATCATACTACTTACTACTTACTTACTAAAAAGATTATCATTNATTCGTGCGATTGCTGCCATAATCTCCAACAGAAATGTAGTCACGTGTCCCGAATATGTTAAGCACAAATTGTCGTAAATTACAAATCGAACTAGAGGGATACCAAGAAAGATATTGTATTCCATTCTTTCTCCTCTCTCCGGTAATTGCAACAGAGAAGCATTTTCTCATCCGCATAGCATTTAAAGTGGACAAGTAGTGACTAATCGTTTTATGCTAAATGGACTTCCTATAACACACTGTACAAACTTTTATCCTTAAAATGAGTGAATTGTCATAGGAAACCAATTTTTGGGTATTCTATTATAAAGAGACTACTCCGGTTTTGACTTCAATTGGCATCATTGCAGATTAGATTAGATTGGGTAGAAAGAAAAATACCGACTCGGATGATTGAAGCTGACTCATTCTGCAGGGACAATATGAGGAATGGGTGTTTTAAAGATATGAAGTAATGATTACAGTAAGGCCACCGGTGGGATTTATACAATCTCTCTTTGATCCGAATTTACTCTAAGTGTAATCGCACTTCTGTAAAAGGGTTGATTCTCTCCAAGGAGGGTAAAATATACTATACACTTTATTACTCCACCATTATTGACAGATTTGAGAACTAGGGAATGAGATTTATAGATTAATCTTCTCCGATTGCATTTACAAACTCTTTGTGGTCTCTTTGAATACAGGTATTTCTTTATATAACGAACTTGCACTGATCGAAAACTATAACGTCACATCGTTCCGCCGTTTTCAGAAAATTCGTTTTCCTTTATTCGATTCGATTTGTTCGTTTTACTCCTTATTCTTAAATTGCCTTAAACCATACTTTTAAGTAATGGAATTCGACCTACTACACTTGAAACCTCTCTGTTCAAATATAACATTTAGAGGGAGTACAGAGTGAGAGAAATGTCGGCAAATTTAGGGGCCAATACGAATGGAGCTGCCTGCAAATCGAAAGGCGGTAATTTGTAGTGTGACAATGAGAATTAACTTCGCCAAAATTTCATTGAGTTTAGTGAGACTGTTTTGTTTCATCTTATCAAAAGGGAATCATCCAGCCGTCTAATCTGGTTGGCGGCCTATTCAGAGATGCTATATATCTTCGAGGAGTAGAAATGTACTGCAAACTTTACAGTCTTCAAACCTTGAATTGAAAACTATTAAGCCAACAACACAACCAATAGCAGTTAAAATGGATTGACACCAACTATGACTTGAAGATATACTGATCACTTTCCCCTTACCCAATGTCCCAAATATGGGATGTGGGATAGACTTACCTCCTCGTGGTGCTCATACGGCAAAAAAGTCTATTAAAAGGCAGTTGACTTCTGACTTCAAACAGCCTTAATCCCATTGTATGTCATATTCGACTACTTTCACAGTACTCACCTCACCTTTTTTTCTACCTTTTCTACCTTCGTCTTTGAAACATTCTTCTGTCCCCCCCCCCTCGACTTTTTTCACTTTGATGTTCCTTTCCCTCTGTGAAACCTGAAGTCAACTAAAGGGCTAATGATAACCATCAAAACGCCTGCCATTTGATATAAATATATTTGGTGTTGTTTAGCTGTTAATTATTTGAATACCTAGTACGCTTAGAGCTCCAGATAGTCAAGTGTCTGTTGGAAGTTAGGTCAGACAAACGTATACTTACAATTGAAGACTTCATAAATTGCTCAGTATCCCTCACCAACTTTTAGCCTATTCTTGCATTGCATGGAAAATACCACTTCGATTAATGAGTACGCCTGCTCCTTTCCTTCAACTAAGAAAAAGCCACAAGGCATATGCCAGTGTATGTTGACTATTTATGGTACAGTGTATAAAAGCACATTGGACACGTTAATCAAAGAAGGCGGGAAGGGAGGGTTGGAGGAAAGGCAAAATGAAAATACGCTGCTAGTCATCATGCGATGATCTGAATTGAAATTTATCCATGGTTCAAAGAGGCAGATAAAGATTGAAGGTTAAGTTTTATTTATTGAGGTAGATCTATTCAAAGGCACTGAGTGAGTTCGATCGGATTCAGACAGAGCACTGAGATCTTGCCTATCACCTCCTCTGCTTTCCATGTGCACCATCTTCCGCTTCCTTCGGAGTTTTTTCGATATCCGAAGAGACATCAAAAGGCAAAGGGCAATTGAAATAACAAGAATAAATCCAAGAATGGGCAGAAATATGGAGATAAATGAGGATGGTGTAGATTTTGAGAGGGTGGGAATTGTTAAAGGCACCAGGGTGGAATAAGTCAGAGGCTTTCTAGGTTGATATCCACGAGCAAGTTTGAGTGGGTAATTATGGCGGCAAATATGATCATCTGAACATACTCCTGGACGACACTTTCCAAGAGCTACTGAATTTTCTGAATGGGAGGAGTTCCACCAACTTTCAAAAGTTATTATTCCCCCGGGTGAAGGTGGACCCGGAAGTATTCGAAGAACACTGATATCTGGTCTCTGAGTGCATTGAGTGCAAATGAATTGAAGTGGTCTTCCGAGACAGCCAATCAATCTGATACTCTTGAAGGATGATCCAAAGGTTATAAATCTAGAGAACATGGAACCGCAACTGAGAACAATATTTTCCAAACGCGCTAATCCTGCCAAAGAGCATCCATCAAGAGCAATCGGAGCTCTCCAAGCATGAAGAGTTACTAAATGTGGAAGACCCGCAAAAGCAAGAGCATCAAGAAGCTTAGCTTGCAGGGGGAAGTTGAGCTGGACTTTAACAACTGGTTCTGCGAATTCCAGTTGACTGAGTCCATATGGTTCGATAGCCATCCCCAAAGCACCGGTCTCTTCTCGAATCGCTGTTACGCTACTTGAATCTCCAATGCGGACTATTCCACCCATTCTTTCACAAAGAACTGGAGTAAAGAGTGACTTTGGAAGTTCGGCAGGATCGGAAGCGCACCGAAGAGTAATTAGCATCCCTGATCGACGGTACCCACAATAGCAGCTAGATTCCGAATAGACAGCACAACAAAAAAGTGCAAAAAGTAGTAGAGGGATCTGAGGCATTATAGGAGGTCTAAACACATGTCCGAGCAAAGAAGAAATGTGAGGTCATCATAGTGCACGATTTATTCGCATTTGGACTGACAAATAGTTTGCGCCAACCAGCTCCCAGTGACGAGGCATGCCTACTGTCCAACCACAAATCCCAGCCAATTAGATCTTCGAATGGATGATAGCAAATATACGAACGCACATGACATGTTTCTATTCCAGATTCGATTTCATAGTATGGCATCTTTATACACGTTACTTTCTTCTATGCCAGAAACAAAGCGTTTCCTTTGCTTAGTTAACCGATTTTATTTTTTAAATTCAAGTTAAACGTCGGGGTAAATTGATTTTGATAATTCGTCAATTAACCTTATAACTTAAATTCTTATCTTTAAAAAATTGAAACTTACCATTTCCAAATCGAAGAGTATTTATAATCATAAGTTCGGGGGTTATTTTGACATTTGCCTTTGCTTAATGAAAATGGTCTGTTAACATTTTAATTTAAGCATTGAACTTGCGTAGCTTTCAGTGTTACAATGAATGCCTGGATAGAGTGGTGAACCAGACACTTTAGCAACTAATATCATCATCGGTTTCTAGTTATATATAGCATCTTGTAAGCTTAATATATTCAAGGGTGTTTAGAGCTTATTTTGAAAGTTCATCGGATTTCAATTACACAGGATATTTCTTTTCAAGAACCAACATTTGTAGCCGTTTTAGTGTAATAATTGTAAATTCCTTAAGATAGCTTACATGTAGTAGATCAATTAGTGGTACAGATCACAGTGCCATATCTCTAATATCGAAATGTAGGGATTAGTACCTGCATGCTATTCCTGACAATACAAAAAAACTATTTCATACCGTTGATATTATGGCTACCTTGTAGTATTAATGAGAAATCCTAATGGAAGAGAGACACGATTACAGTCGACTTCCTTTCGATTTGTTACCTTACTATAGACAATGACTTTCTTTTGGCATGTAATGTCTTTCTATTTAAAAAAACTTGCAATGAATTTCATCAGGAAATTTGTTACGATTTCTTCCCTTGCTTCAAAATAGAGTGTTTAACGTACAATTTCAAGTAATCCTTTTGTGATTCCATAATTTCAATTAAGTTCGAATTAACGAACTCTTATAGGCTCTATTTTAAGATACTTTGAAATAGTATCTTTCTGCCACCTTAACCACAGCAAGAAAATTTAAACCAAATAAGGCCACACCGACACCATGGCGGGAGTGACGCAACGACCCAACATTTCCAACGTGGTCAAATTAGGCGCACGCTCAATTCTGCATGTGGACGAATTTTTACTGGATTGAAAAATGTGAGATTAGGACGGTTTAAAGCTGCACAAGCCCTCACTTTGTGGGCCTCAAAAGTTACGCTCTATGAAGGTTACTTAATTATCATGAGACCATAACTCAAAATGATATTAGGGCGTGGTGTTGGCTTAAGGACTGAAACTCATTTACCACCCACATTCTTGATAAGGAACCGATGACACCAAGCAGCATTGTGGATGCACTTTTGTGAAAGGGGTAATGTAGAACTCGAGTGACATCATTCTGGTTGCTATTCCTCTGTATGTTAGCACTAATTCTTTGACGCGCCTCCACCAAAGATGTTGTATAAATAGTTTCGTCAGAAGTTAGTGGAGCAAAGTGGGATAACTGAACACCTCAACTAACTCAGTTCGGTTCTAAATTAACAATAGCCCAGCCGTTACGAATGAGGAAATAGATCATGCAGGCTGAACACGGTTCTTAAGAATTTCCGGCAAGATAAACGGATATTGGGCTATGATGGGCACTTCAGTACATTTTACATTATAAGCTTCATACCTCCTGTCAACATCCTCCATAAGGGAGGAAATGAAGAGAGATAAAAATGTAATGCAATTTCAGCCAACAGCCTTCGAAACAAAATACCAGCCAATCTCAAGTTCTCAGACTTAAACATCCTAAAGAAAACTTGAATTTCAGAAGTACTCTAATGTTTCAAAGTACACATTTTCAAAACTCAAGTAATTCTTCATTCAATATACCTTGTAAAACCACAACCACCATTTTTAACTTTCTTTTAGAAACTCCAAATTTAGATTAGGCTGTCAATTTTGTACATTTGATGGAAATTTCCAATTTCTCAAACAAAGATTATACAATAAATTTATTTATTTGTATCAATTGGCAGGCGTTTTGATAGGTATAATTAGCCCTTTAGTTGACTTCAGGCTTCACAGAGGGGAAAGAACATCGAAGGGAAAAAAAGTCGAGAAGGAGGGGGGGAGGTAAGAGAAGGGTGTTTAAAAGATGTAAAAGAGACGGACACAATGGTAGAACAAAGATGAGGTGATAACTGTGGAAGTAGTCAAATATGGCATATTGTGGGGTGATGGTATTTTGAAGTGAGAAGTCAACTGCCTGTTAATAGACTTTTTGCCGTATGAGTATACGTTGCCTAGGAAGCACCGCATAAAGGTAAGTCTATCGCGCACCCCTTATACAATAAATCAAATTGTGAAAAGTTGGAATAGTTTCTACTTGCCGAAGCGTCTTCTGGTAACTCACAAATCACGTTTAAAACTCTATCTCAATGTTATTTATTTATTTATAGCAAATGGCAGGCTTTATGATATTTATCATTAGCCCTTTAGTTGGCTTCAGACTTCACAGAGGGGAAGGAACATCAAATTGAAAAAATTCGAGGGGGGGGGGAACAGAAGAGTGTTTCAAAGATGTAAGAGACAAACACAAAGGTAGAACAAAGGTGAGGTGAGTACTGTAAAAATAGTCGAATATGATATACAGTGGGGTAATGGTAGTTTGAAGTGAGAAGTCAACTGCCAGTTAATAGACTTTTTACCGTATGAATATACGTTGCCCAGGGTGCACCACGTGGAGGTAAGTCTATCGCACACCCCCTATCTCAATATAACTATAAACGTTTCGTCCATTTTGATCGAAGAAAATGACCCAGATCTCAAATTAGACCATACAGATTTCTTCTAACAATTAAAATTTTAACTATAATAATGCAAAATTGAAAGGAAGCAGGTTTAAATTTTTGGGTATCAAGAGCGAAATTTTCAGAATTGAGTGGAAGTAATTCGTTTTGACGTATATTTTTATGTCAGGAAATTAAATTCTCTCATTGTTCCACAACTGTCCAATCAGCCAGCCTTTCAATTCAGAACAAATCGGAGCCTTATATAGACGGTTTTCCTTCCTTAGGTAACCCCTCTGGGTTCGAGAAATTTCCGAGATGAAGCGTTAAATTACTTTAAATGAAAAAAATAAATAGGATATTAATGTATTGCGTTATAAATATGAACTAGCAAGTTCATAATCCCACATGAGCAAAGAAAGCTAGAGAGAAAATGGAAAAGGCCTATCTACGTTGGAGGAAGATGTATACAAGGAAACTGAATGTGTAAATCGGGTAATTTGTGCGTATATCAAATTGTGCAATGCAAGAAATTTGACGGTAACCAATTGAAGGTAGGAGGTATTTTGTTGTTGTTTTTCATTTCTATGCATGGTACTCGTTTCAGGAAGGGGAAGGCCATCTGCAGATTTCTCACTTTTGAAATTCGTCATCCTCTATACGCCGCCAACAAGCCTTAATTATTTGTGGTAGTGGTTTCATTTAACTGAATGCGCCTCAATGATCATAGAAACCACCATAGTAAAGAATTAAAAAAGAAATTTTCTAGAAGGATTTAGCAAACTGTCTTTCGATTTGCTCAGATTTTGGTCTCATCTTGCAAGTTACTTTCGAACGAGTGGAAAACCAAACGAACTCCAGATGACTGTACATTGCAGAGACCTCTAACATTATATATATATATATATATATATATATATATCCTTGATATTAATTACAATTAAATGTATTCTAATACCAATATCTTATCAAATACATTTCCGAGCATTCTGGTCGAATAGCTCACTTTATTTTCAATAAGTAGTATTTCTTTTAATAAATGAAACTAAATAAACAGAAATGTACCCCTGAAACTTTTAATGCTGTATGTTTAGGAGACAAGAAAAAGAAATTCACATGATCCTGGAATGTGCAATGATGAACACAACCATGAAGTTCTGATATAAACATAAACTAAACAAAATAATTGGTAAATAACTGATATAGAAACAAATATTCACTTGTGGTAATTCGCAAGGTGTTAACTACAGCTTTTTACAGCTTTTAGCTAATACTTCACAAAATAAGCCTTGCCTAAATCTCCGCAATCTCTAAGGCGGCCAATTCCCCTCCCCCCTGGAATAAAACTGACCCCACAATTAACTAAGTTGCCTCAATAATATCGAGGAGAAAGGGGGGAGTATGACGTAAAGTGCAGTTTTATTCTGATTGTGCGTCACTGACACCAAATTTGGTCATGGGAGTATAAACAGAGGGTTTATTAGACAATACAGTGACTATTGATTGTTGGTTGTCTGAGTGGTCTCTACACTCACGACCACACGCGTTTTCCCTACTCAACAAGTAGAACGTACACCTTCAGGGCTGTTCGAGTACGCATGAGATTTCGTAGTCCAACCAAGGTGGAGTTGAACACTCACTCTCTTTTTTGAATACGGAATCTCAATCAGATTGTATGATGTTCGCCATCTTCATTCCTATTTATATTATTTTACAACCTCACTTCGTAACAAATGTAGAATTAATTTACGACAAATTGATGCTATCTTGGATTGCGTATTTTCAGTTAAAGAGGTTCTATAGTATCAAGAGGAACAAAGTGGGATGTGTCAGCAACAAAATTTCCTTTGATTAATAAGAGATTTGCAATTAACAAAAAAGCACTTCTATTTAAACCCTAGCAACAAACAGGTTGGATGAGAGGTAAAAATTGATAAGTAAAATAATATAAGTCTTCCTCTCAAGAAAGGCCTAGGTTACTCTCATAGCAATCCACAGAAATTGATCGGGAAAAAATGCTTAAAATGACAAAACATGATCTGACCTTGTTCTTTGT